CTCAGCCAGTGGCCAGCAAGTCATGAACCGCACCGCGGCTGAGCTACTATCCCCCGCCATCAGCAACACACACGATGCGCTCCATCTCCTATCCGAAGCAGCTGGGAGGACTGAGGATTTGAATCGCCAGCAGCAGCTGGACTATCGCTATTCCGCGTCCACGTCGAGCTTTGCCTCGCCAAATGACGCCCTGGCGAGGGGAAACGTCTCGGAGAAATCTGGGAGGTCCATGTCCAACGGCCAGCAGTCTCTCCATCGCTACCAGCCGCAGACCACCGGTTCGACTTCAGTTGGCGTTGTCGAACATCGTGCTGGTGAAGCGGGGGTTGTTGGGACCAGCGATGCCGGTGGGGAAGGGTCCAGGTTGATGAATGCGCCTCCTTCGTTGAAAGGCGGATTTGTGGAGGATATGGATTATGTGAATGCTGTGAGGGTGTGGTCGAGGTTTCGCTTTATTAGGGCCGGTTGGTTCAGTGTTGATGAGGCCATGGGATATATAGCATAGTAAGGGGAAATATATCCATATTCATTGCGATCCCTTTTTTTGTTATCTACTGTTTATTGACTCTTTACCTCCCTCCCACCCCCCATTTTCCTTTGCAGCTACTACGAGCATCTCGCCCCTTTGAGTCCTATCGTTATACCAAACTATAGTTCTCCAGCAACCCATCTAACCCTCCTTACCGAAGAGCCCGTCCTGACCGTCACCATGCTTACCATCGCATCCCGCCACATGCCCCTGACAGGCAACGGCGCAAATTCCCGCGCCTACTCCATCCACGAGAAACTGTGGTCCTATCTACGCGGCATGATCGAACGCTTAATCTGGGGCCAAGAGAAGTTCGACGGGGGCACCTTACCCTCCCAAATACCCAAATTCTCCTTCGCCCCTGGTCAATCGAATGCGAGTAGCGGAAATCTGCGATCACTGGGCACTATCGAGGCCCTTCTGCTCCTGACGGACTGGCACCCGCGCGCCTTGCATTTCCCGCCTGGTGATGATGAGAATACACTCTTGGATATTGATCCTCAACTCCTGACGCAGATCCAGACGCAGTCTCCGGATAATCGGGGGAATATCGATCATGATCACGATCCCATAACGGCGGGCAAGGCACAGAGTATTAGTGGCGGCGGAGGAGGAGGAGGAGGAGGTGGAGGAGGAGGTGGTGGTGGTGGTGGTAGTAGCTCGGAGGGTCGTCTTGCGTTCTACAAATGGCTCGAACCTGTTTGGCGCTCCGATCGCATGTCCTGGATGCTCCTCAGCACCGCACAAGCGCTCGCCTTTGAGCTCGGTGTCTTCGACCCCAAAAACGACCAGATGTCCAACAACGCGAACACGGAGTCCTCGACCGAGCGCATCCGGAAACGCCGCGTGCGCAAGCTGATTCTCGTCTATGTCTCGCAGAGTAGCGGGCGGTTGGGGATCCCCTCCATGCTCCCGCTCCCACAATGGGGGATAAACATGGATCCAGTATCGTCAGAGGACTGCCGCTTCCTGGACCCCCACGAGGACCGATCGATTGATTTGATGCAGGATTGCTGGATGGATATTTCGAAGATCATGTATACGAGCAACCAGGTGTTGTTCCAAAGTAAAGACCAGACCTCGAACTTGATTAAGAGTGGAAGATACCGGGAACAAATTGATAAGTTTATACCGTCATTGAGGGAGTTTAGGACGAAGTTTGATCGGGTTTCTAGTGAGCTTTTATATTTATATCATTTTTTTTTAAATGATTATGTAGTGTGTTACTAACGATCTGATAGTGCCTGCCCATATGCGACATATCCTGGCTATTGAATACGAGTATACCCGTGAGTGTTAAATTCCCGCAGATTACGATGTGCACCCAATACTAATTCGGGAAAAATGCAAGGTTTATATGTCAACTGCCTCGCCCTCCAGGCCGTCGTAGATAGATGGACCACAATGAGCAATGAGGTTCAACATCCATCTACGGCGGGTTCAACGCGGCCCAACTCAACAGCCCAGACAAATTCTTCCACTGCTGCCAATGCAACTGCTTCGTGGCGTGTCCTCATGGAACAGTACCAAGTCAACGAACCGTATATTCAAGAGGTCGTCGATGCCTCGCGACGGATTTTGAAAACCGTCCTTGACGGTCTTCTCCCTGGCAATTCCCTGAAACATGCACCAGTTCGCACTTTTTTCCGAATTTTATCTGGAATGATATTCATTCTCAAGGTGCGATGCGATATCCCGAACAAGTGTGCCTTTTATTGCGCGCTTTTGTTATCACGCTTTCATGACTGCTAACAAAATCTCCCATAACAGACCTTCACCCTAGGTGCCAAAGAAGATGACGTCCGCATCTCCCTCGACCTGCAAGACCGTACTATCGAGTCTCTACGCACCTGCGTAGTCGACGATGTCCATCTAAGCGTCACAATCGCTGATCTCCTCCAGCTCCTAACCTCCAACATCCGGAACAGGTTCCTCCGCTTCGCGCCCCCAGACCGCGTCACTGGCGAATGTAGCAGTCGCGAACGAACACCGCAGCCGCAGGCGCAACCGCCCGGACTCATGTCCTCCCCGCTGTCGACACGACAGTCACCCCATCCGCCCGACCATCTCGGCCACGCTTCATCCCAGCAACTCGATCAAAGCCAAAATGACTTCCAAAACCCCGCACGCTGGCAGCAACAACAGCAACAGCAACATCAGCTCTCTCCCAACACACCCTTCCACTTTGATACAAACAGCCATCATCATCACCACGCTCACCACGCTCACCCCAACCATCACCACAACCATAGCCACAGCCATCCGTCAACCACCCATGCAGATCCCCTCGCCAACATCCCCGCCCAACCCCTCAACTCCTCCAACCTGACCGTCTCCTTCATGCCCCCGCCTGCCTCCGTTTACTACAACTACTACGACCCCAGCACCGCCTCGCTAAAGATGGACCTCGACGGCGCAGATCCCACCACCACGGCTGCAGCAGTCGCCAATAACAACAACACCATCTCACCCGACGTAATAAATAGCCATAACCACACTGGAAACAACGGCGGGTCCTCACCATCGCTCCCCAACGGTGCCACGAACGGCGCCACCACCAGCGGCGGTGCCAATACTTCCTCTATTAACAATAACAATAACAACAATAACAATGCCCCTGCCGCCACTGCCACCAACAGTGGTGGCGGCGGCGGAGGCCAATCAGACTGGTTCGCGCTGCCTCTCGATCAGTTCTTCAACAATGCGACGATGGGGGTTGATCAGGGACTGGGCGGGACGGGGCCGATGGTGGGCGAGTTTGATATGCTTGAGGTGTTGTTGAAGGAGCAGGATGATATGGGGGGTGGGTTTTTGTAGGTCTGGATTTTTGATTTATATTTACATTTGTATTCCCCCCCTCCAATTTGGTGCGGGTGTATTTTCGTACCTTATCTGTCTATGTCTATCTATCGGTGTCTTAGAAGATGGGTTGGTTGGGTATCGGAGTTTTTCTTTCTTTTTTCTTTTTCCTTTGGATTTTGGATAGGGGTTTCGAGATTAGATGGTTTGGGTCTATTTGTTCTTTTTTCTTAATAAGCCCTGTTTCTGGTTCTGATTTCGAAATTGGATACTTTTGCGATATATTGGTTTTTTCTCTATATTATTCTCTTGACGTTACTGACATACTACCTGCTAATTGTATTGTGTTTGGCCCCTCAAAAAAATATCGTTTTGGCTTCTTCTTCTTCTTCTTCTTCTTTTTTTTTTTTTTGGTGGCCGTGTTATGCTTTATGAATCCCTCTCCACCTTTTTGTGAGTGATTGTGTTGTGAGATAGTGTGTGTTTGCCTTACACTCGATGAAAGACGTCCGTCCTTGTTGGGTATCTTTTCACTGATCAACAGATCAGTGGGATCATGGATATTTGATATCCGTTTGCTATCTGTTTCCTATTATCCATATATAAGTACCGTACGTATGTAAATGTATGAAATTATTGCATATTTAGCTGATGTCTTGTACCCAAACAAGCATCAAGCATAAATATATATCCACAGCCATGGCCTTTTTTTTTTTTTTTTTTTTTTTTTTTTTTTTTTTTGGTTCCTTTTGTTATTTGGCCTGCAGAATTTGAGAATTTGGAGGCCGTATGTAGGAGACAACGGGCTTATGTTAACGTAAACATCTTTTCCCTCCTATTTCCGTTTTGTCTCCCCTCTATCAAAAGCAACTGCTACATCACCAGTCCTTAAAACAAGCTCGCTCTCTCGCTCAATATATTCCATTCAACATCCTAACTACCCTTTGCTGCTTCCTGGCACGCACACTTCGCGCGAACTCAAGATAGCAAACTTTCTATATTGCATTCGAAACTCACTTTCAGCCCGGGTGTGAAGCAAAAACAGAAAAATAAACAAGTTCAAATGAAATGTAAAGAGCGGGCCGGGAAAAAAAAAAAAAAAAAAAAAAAAAAAAGAAAAAAAGAAAGTCAAAGCCAATCAAAATAACACCCTGGTTGATATAAATAACAAATAACATATTGATGTCAAGACCACTGGCCGACTCAATGTCCGCAAAACCCCAAAATTCCAAGAATAATAATCAGAAGACAAATCCGAACAGAGAAAAGGGCGAATAACTCACATATTCGCCTCCGTCCTTATACTACAATCACAGTCGCCCCCATTTTTTGTGGCAAAGAAAAGTAAGTGGGGCCCAGGGGGTTGCCATACACACATATGTATCAACTTTTTCTCTTTCTCCAAGCGAGATTTCCCCTCAGATCTCCTGAACATCCAGGCCCCAGATTTCCCAGTGCTTCAGCACCTCCCACCCCACCCGCTTAACCCGCCGCCGGTAAAGCACATCTCCTCCCCCAGATAGCCCCTTGAAGTTTATGCACTGTATTACGTCCCTCATGGTATCGTTAGACTTAGACATGGGTTTGTCTCCGCAAGGGAAAGTAAGAGTGTGGCCGGATTGAGATGGAGGAGGGGTTTGTTGTATGGGAGGTTGTGTTAGGGATGGTTTGGCCGAGATGGGAGGAGGGTTAGGACTGTGGCCTGGGACCTGGGCTTGGGGTTCGGTGGAAGGGCTGGTGGCTGTTGTTGTCATTGTGGAGACGGAGGAAGCTCTGGATGGGGAGGGTGGGATTTGCTGATTGGGGTTTGTTGTCGAGGTTGAGGTGGTTGGGAGTGAAGGGGATGAGAGCGTATTTTGGTGATTATTAGGGTTAGGAACAGGGCTGTGGTTGTTAATGCTACTATCGCCATTGAGATCGCTACTGTATGATCGCCGTTTCCGCTTTCCTCGCGGGGAAGAAGTAGTCGGCCATGTGTTCAATGATGCCTGCCGGTGTCGCTGAATGGATTCTGGAATCGAAAATCTCATCTCCACCAATTGATCGTCCGAAAGATCGTCTGGCGCAGAATGATATTTCAATGCAATTGCATTTTCGTCTCTCAAGAGGAATGCTTGGGTGGCCTTGGATGCAGGAATTGTATATAGTGCGCCCAACTCCCACGCTTTCCAGCCAAGCCCGATTATCTTTAGTGTTCCAAAAATCTCCATGTCCGCGAGCGACACGCCCATTACTTCGTTGTGGATGCAATCGTCCATATCAACCACTTCAGCGATTGAGCGAGCATTAATTTCTGGAGGCTGTCGTTCCATTGGTGTTAACAGCGGTATTCGACGTGATAAATGGGCATTATTTGGGTTCGGAGGAGGAATAAGGAGTGGGGATAAGCAATCGAAGAGCAACCAGTTTTCGCAAAAATGGGAGGAGCAAGCTGAGGGTCTCATGCTGGTCATCTCGGTTGCTAGAGCAAGTTGTTCTAACTGCGGACATGCGCGCACCAGTCGTGCAATTAGGTGTGGAGGTAGAGTCCATCGGGAAGGGAGGAGAAGGTGCCGGAGCGTGGACCCAAGACCGGATGTTATTACTTGAAAAAGTGGGTCACGGACGTGGAGTGGAAAATTCAATACCGTCGGCGATGCCTGGGGTATGAAGTTGTCGATATTAGAGATAGAGCTTGGGGTCCGGTCGTTAGCTGAGGCTGATCTCCTCCGTCCTGCAGGTGAAGAATCCGGCGTCAGAATCGTGGATGACTCTAAGGAAAAGTGTTTAGGACTGTTACGGTAATCTCCTGGGCTTCGGATGCCAGTCACTAAATAAAACTTTTCCAATCCTTCGAGATTGCCTAATAACTCGCAACTTCGTTTTTCCAGACGGTCAAATCGTATGGACTTTAAATTCAGCACCCAATTCGGCATCGGCCAGCTATTTTCCACAAAGGACATAGTATCAAAAGGCGCAGTAAATACAGTAAGGTCTTCTAGCCCAGAATAGTCAATGCCAGACATGATTTCCTCTCTATGGAGCGAGTATAAATTTTGGAATGCAACCTTTTTGAGTTTCACTGGCGATTTGGCCGCAATGCACTTGCGAAAATAGTCAGTGAAATTGACGCTCGCCTCCTGCGCTTCCTGCATCCGGGGGGACCAGTGTAGCCTCAACTCTCGTAATTTTTTGCTCTGATATAGCAATGTAGATAGGTCATCCGGGTAGCAAAGGGGATCAATATCCGTGATTTTAAGCGCGCGTAGATGCGGCATCGCTGGAATAACAATAGTTGGTCGAGGATGCCGACTCGATGGGAATCGTACTGTTAAAGACTTCAGCCTGGGCAGCTGGGCAAGCCCCTGATACACCGTCTGCAACATTTTTGTATTGAGCTCCCAGCTATTTTCCGCACCAAAAACAAAATATGTCAATCGCAATCAGCATATCTACGTCTTCTGCTTCCCATATTGGGGTTCATCGGCGGGAGAACTCCATCCATACCTGACAGATTCTAACCCAGGCATCTTATCCACCGCCGCCCTCACCACGATATTCAGCATCATTGACGAATCCGGCACCCTCCCGACTCTCGCATGTTCCTCCAGCTCATTCTCCCTCCACTCACCCCGCAGCGTTAGAGACCGAACTAACCCACCCACGTTTCGGGTCACCACCGCATTGAGGGCAATGGAAAATGGGCTACCACTGCCCCATCCTTCCACAAATTCGTCGCGGTATCGGAATTTATCATACGACGTGAGCGTAAGGTCTTTGTAGAGCTGTGGGAGAGCCATATAGTTCAACACCCGACATGTACGGCAAAGGCGAGCGAGGTCCGCAACATTGTCCAACTGCAGGGAGAGGGGAAGATTTCAGGGTTAGTATACAAGGTGTCTCGAGATCGAAAAAAGAGGAAGGGGATATTGCAAATGAAGAACAACACCGATAGATACTTACATGCGCCACAAGCACAGCGATAATGTTCAAAGGCAGGGTCAAGAGTCCGGGTCGCTGGCCGGCAAGGGCAAGATCAACACCAGCTGTTGCAAACATGTTCGTGTTGACTTTTGACATTTTTTTTCTGTTGACGGGTTTCATGGACGTAAGATGCGGACGGCCGGAGGGGATGGATTGCATGTGCCAAACCCCGTCGCTTCATTCACAGTAGGAGAGGGTCATGGAAAATGGTTGTTGTCGTGATGGTTCGTGGATTGACGAATTTGCATGTTCCGGATTTTTGCGGTAGTCAGGTTAGGTATAAAAAGACAGCAAGAGATGACGAGGGGACACTGGAGGCCATCACTTGACAAGGATCGCGTCGAGCTAGAACATCGTCCTAATTTTTGTTTGAACAAACAGTCCGTCTTCGCAAGCTGCCAGGCACTAAAGAGGACCTCTTTAACTCTATGTCTATCTCTAACGATAAACCGAAAAAAAAGAAAAAATCAAAAAAAAAAAAAATATATATATATATATATATAGAATGAGGTCAAAAAAGATATAACCAGGTAGATAAGTAAATAAATACAAGTGTAAACCCAATTTCCCAGGAAATGTAATGATAAAATAACATGTTTATATCCAAAAATGCGCAAAGCCCAGCCCGCGATCCCACCAACCTTAAAGAGAAAAGAAAGAAAACACTTCATCGCACATATACAATCCAATGGTGTCCTAAAGATTTTGCCCGCCTAGAAGTCCAACCCCCAAACCCAAAACTTCAAAAAAAAAAAAAAGAAAAAAGAAAAGAAAAAAGAAAAGAAAAAAGGAAAGAAAGGAAGAAAACTCCGCGCTAAATGTGCAACGGGAGGCAAATCCTATGATTGCAAAAGAAAAGTTTCCCAAATCGTCAGAAGTAGTAAACCAGGAGGTGGAAAATCCAAGCCGCTGGCCACGGAGTGAAGCCGCCATGATTTTTCTTTTTGATTTGTTTTATATCTCCAAAAATTCTTTGGGCGGAACAGTGTCAATTCCCGTGCTGTGCCCCAAGATCCGAATCGGTGAGATGTCGAGGGTTATCTCGATCGTGGAGAGGGTGTAAAAAGGAAATATGTCGACTATGAGTAGCCGGGCTTCCCGAAGATGACGACTGGGGCACTGGCTCCGTTGAGTTAGTAGTTGCATGAGGATATCTTTCACCGTCTGGTGATATCTCAATAGGAGGGGACGTGGAGTCGGAACTATTCCCATCATCAAAGGACGAAGACGACGACTGCTCACGGACAACCTGAATAATTGCGTGTTCATTTTCTATCAATATGGGCACTTCAGACGTAGGAGAAATTCGCCGTCCTAGCCCGCCACCCCAGTAGTGTGGGTGAATTGAGGTATCCGACCGATGACCTTGTGCTGAAGATATTGAGTTGGGAGAAACGGGGTGTATCTGGATGGACGATGACAATGTGGCTTCGGATGCCAACGTAGCGGCGGACCTACGAAGCTCATTCGAATCTCCAACATGAACTCTATCTGTCTGCTTTCTGGGGCGAGGCGAAGCGCCATCTCTCACGAATGGCCTTTCCAGCGATTCGTTTCTTCGCTCACCAACCTGCGATGATGGCTCTACAACAGGGAGTGGCCAGGTCCTTGATGATCGTGACGGTGGTGGAATTACCATCACTGGGAGGTCAGAGTTGCTTCTTATATCGCGCTGGTCTTGGGTCGATGTGTCCTGTTCTCCATCGTCCCTGCTGGGTGACTGGCCTCTGGGCCCGCTCCTGGGTGGTGCAGGGATGACAGTGACGGGTAGGGGTGCTTCAGGATCCGTCTCGCGCGACAATTTACCTTTGTCCCAAGGGCGGTAGGTGAGAATTGTGTCAAGCTTTGATTTGAAATTCCACGTTTTGTCATTCGTACCATCGCCGTTCGCGGTCTCAGATCCTGATTGCAAAGTGTGTGTCAATTTTGCCTGAGCTGTTGCTACTTGTGTTGGTGGAGAACCGCGTCGTTTTTTAAAAGGATTATTTAGCACTATCCACCCGAGCCCTGAGTTCATTACTGGTATCGGCGGAGAATGACTGCAGAAATCTCTGCTAATAGTAGATTGTGGGTGAGTAGGGGCCGGAAACTCCTTTGGAATTTCTTCATCTGGCGCCCGTTCCATTCCGTCTGAAGTGACGCTGCCAACGGAATGGTAGCGGACTCGATATACTGTGCTTGCAGCACTAACAGTGTCTGTTCGGCTGACAGGGGTTGTTGTATTTGGGGGAGGCGTGGAATTAACATCACCGCCGCCATTACCAGACGCGCCGTTTGCAGCTGGAGTTGTTGCAGTCGTTGTCTTCCTGGTTTTCCTCCGGGCTTGAGGTAAGCGGCTCTGGAATGTGACTCGCGTCTTCAGGGGTCGATGAGTTAGACCTATGACGCCGCCCCAGCCTGAACCAGAACCTTCATTTCCTCCGCAATCATATTTACCGTTATGTGAGCCAGGCCAATCGACCTCCTGGGATGGAGTAACCTCCAGCATTTCGTCGCCGTCAAATATCTCTCGTCCGAGAATCCCATCTTTCCTTTCGTCTCTTTCCAGCGCCTCTATGCGTTCGACCCATTCCCAAACCACCACACTCGCTGCAGCGGCTCCAACCCAGCGAATATACTCACCCCAGCCGGCAACGTTAGGTTTCGACAGATCTAATACAAAGAATACAATGGGGATAACAACTGAAACGAGAGACAACAAGGCCACCAGGCAAATGTTGCGCATTCTGGGATGGAAGAAGGCAAAGCGATGTTTAGAAAGGCAATAGAAAATAACCCAGGCAGCGTATAATAAGCTCAAAGATAGCTCAAACAAGTAATTGAGAGCTGGTATGGCCTCAACAATATTCCTCGGTCGACTTGGGTTCAGAGATCGGCTGATGAAACTGTTGAGGATGCTGAATATTACATCCAGCACTATCAACGCAAAACCCGTCCATTTTATGATTACTTTCTCCTTGTGGCGTGGAAACAAGCGAATCAAAGTCTGGACCTGTGCCAGCCAAAGAAAAGTGCTCGAAATAACGCGGACAACACGAATCTCCACACCACCTATAACTTCGGCTGTTAGTGCGCTCGAGTCCATGTATCCGCGGTCATATTGCTCTTTGGCGACACGGAAAGAGTCTGCTGTTGCGATACTAAGGGATATTGCAGTGGTGGTGGCAGCGACTTTCTGTAGCCACGGCCGGCCACCAATCCCTATGACGGACGAGCTTCCATACGAGCCACCTAACCGCCCACGTCGGCCCAGGAAGCTCCCACCACCTCTACCACCAACGAAGAAAGTGCGCGGGGTAATGAACAGGATGATGACAAGGAGATAACTGATAACTGTGGCCGTGGCGATGACGTACATCTGTGGAGAAGTTGATGCGTAGAAGGGTTCATCTATGTCTGCAATTGAGGTTGGATTGTCGACGTCGATGACTGGCACATTTGTGCACGCCGGTCTGAAGATAGCATTTTCTGCCAACGTAATGATGAAGGTGTCGTTGACGAGGATAGTCCCTAACGCAAAAAAAATAATAAAAAAAAAACACCAGGAAAATTAATTCGAGAACCAAAACCATCTTTAGCTGGCGGACAGGCAAGAGATTGGTCAGCGCCGTTTTACGTACCTCCTTTGCCTAATGTGGTACCCGGGCAAACAGAATGGGAGCGGTCGGACTCATTGCGAGACAACAACCACCCCACAAAACTCATAACGTCCAATTCCCGCAGTCCACGGGGTTGTGTATGAATGGCATCCACATCCGGTATGCTTTGAGTGCACAAAGCAGATCAAGCGAAGGTTGAAGGAAGGGAAGTTTCAATCGGTATCCAGCAATTTATAAAGTCCTTCAATCCCGCCCAGCACTCTGTTATATTCCAATGTCCCGTTTCCACCAAAAATCTTTATGTTAGTGATGGCGATAATGACCGTTCGCGTGCCGCTGTTCCAATGCCTTTGGGGCAGGCGGGGGGGAGGGGGGGGAAGGACGTTTAAATTGACGACCAACCGCCACAACCGGATCGGTTTCTTGCGTCCCTGCGGGAACACAGGTGCGATGTAATGTTTAAGCGCCAGAAAGGGCAAAGGGGAATCAGGCGTTACGTTGATGGCCACTAGAAATGAACGTCGGAGGCAGTGGAACTATCGCGGCGAGCCGAAACGAAATAGATCGTCCGTGAGGGGAAACGGACAACAAGTAAAACATAAAACATTTGCAGTTTGTAGGATGGGTGCGTGTTCCCCGTCTATCCTTTGTGTTATTTGCAACCGCCCACTCTATTTCAAGAGCACTTGAAGCAGACAACAGAAGGGTTGTCCTGTCTGTGGTCTGAGTCCGGATGAGAGTTCTTGATGTCCCCAGGTTGATACTCTAGTCCCGAATAGGCAGTTGTGGATCCGGCAAGTCGCCCGAGTTTAGTCAGCGCCAAGAATGCCCAAGTTATGTGTCACTGCTAAATTTTCTCTACAGCCAATAAAATTCCTCCAAAAGGTGCAGTTCCAGCGATTGCGCCACGTTCTAGCTTCGTTGTCACGATAACTCTTGATTAAGGTTTACAAAGCTTAAAACGCCAAGACATGTCAGCTCTTGGCAGTCCACCACCTAGCTTGCGGATAGCCGCAAGGGTCAGGCCAGTTCAAATCAAGTTGGAGTGTACTGCCAAATACGGTGGGCGTTGTACGCAGTAGTTTTTGATCATAAGGGTGACAGCGGCCAAGTCCAAAAATATCTTAATAGGCAAAACTAATATACATATTTTCCCTGCAGCTAAGGACACGGAGCGAGGGCAAGATGTATAGCAGCTGTATTAATAGAACAGGGGAAGAATCCTCATGCTGGAGTACATATAAGCAAAAGAAATTGGCCGCATATTTTCCGTTCCCTTACAGGGGTTGGCAATAATAGTAACACTCTCCGTCCACCAAATACGCAATGCAGTACAATCTTCTTGGTTCAACGGGTACTTTGACTCAAATGAGCTGATAAACCACGTTCTTGGGGGTGATATAGTTAAGGAAAAAAGCCAGAAGTCGATAATTGTAAATGGCTAAAATATATAAAAAGGAAGGCAGACGACGAAGGCGAAAATGGAACAAAATATCCTTCAATATGGGCAAGTGATTTAACACTCGACCCAACGAGGAGTCAAACATGGATCGTAAAATATTGAGAGGAACAAAGGTTTGAAAATAACACATTAATAAAAATGAGTTAACGTTGAAAAGTTCCGAGAGTGGTTCCAAGCTGGAAGAAAGGGGCATTTGATGGTATTCAATAAATCCAATTCGAATTCGTTCAATCATATAGAGTCAGTATAGTAGCAATTTATCTAGCGCAAATATTAAGGAAAGTTGGCAATATACATCGGATGATATTCCGGAGTATGGAGATCCTGGACGAAGGGAATAAACCACAAAAAAGAGCTGGGCGTTATGTAACATTTTAGTTCGTTTCTTATACGCTGGTATCGATCGGGCCTTGAATAGACAACAATGGAACCTCGCAAATTCTCGGCGGCGGCTTTTGTATGATGAGCATTCTTTAGCTCGAAGATCAATTCCAAGAGGCCACAAAAGGAGGAGGAAGTGCATCACCGTAGCGGCGGACTGAAGGTCATATGGGTGGGCGGAAGGTATGGGGTTGACACGGTCTGTCGGGCGCCCTCTTCTCGAGTTTTTATCTCTTTCTCGTCCTGGATGAGGGTGCAGCATGTGCAACATGTCGCTCGAACGCAATCTGAGGGAATGCTGCCAGGTATACCGTACGCACGACGTGTGCGGGAATGCTGAATTGTTGCTAATAGCCCTGTTTGGTGTCTCTGTTCAGTCTATAGATTCGCTGCGCAAACGGAAAGAAGTGTCAAGGGCGGGGGAAGAATGGAAAGAAGACAAGGGGCAGTGAGACGTTATAAAGAAACGACTGCACTGGAAGCGCAAAGTAGAGCAAATACATACATTGACACCCGCATAAAAGAGCCATCACTGTACAAGACGCATTGCATGTTTCATAACCCAATAAATTAGTAGGATCCTTCCGCTCAGATTTTCTGTTTAATCGGTAAGTTGTTCGACCATATAGAATACACGGACAAAAGAGTCCCAAACAGCAGGTGCCAATATCCGAGCAGTCGCACTGCCCATGATTCCACGTATCTCCTTGCAATCGTTGATTTGGATGTGCCACCTGGCCAGGAAAATGGCTCAAATGGTGAGTGTCAGGTATAGTAATCGGGGTCATGTAAGCAGGTTTGATGGCTTGAGGTTTGTATTTGGTGGGAGGAGTGTGTGATTCTAGTGGGTTACTGTCGGGCACGATAGCCAGGCTCTTTTCCCGCCGTTCTTGTTCCTGTGCGGCTGAAGGGGCCTTGTTTGCGAATTGGTCGTGAGAAGGTGGGATGGCTATCCTGGGGGGTGACTGGGGAAACGGAGATAGTTTTGAGTCATGTGGTGCATTTGTGGTATTCTCTGTTGGACTATCTGCGTATGGAGCAAACTGAGCAGGGTGTTCTGATAATGGCGGAGCGTTTTGTGGGTGATGGTGGAGGGATATAGATTTCTCAAAAGCATCTTGATGCATGATCGTCGGCATATAAGAGGATGGGCGAGGATGAGAGTAGTGATCGAGAGGCGGTGGAGGCGGAGGCTCTGCCGCATTCTCAGGCAGCGAGGGATGTCTCTGCTGTTTGTTCTGTTGCGGAAATGTCGGCTCTTTTTTTTCTGCTGGTGTGTTTAGGTACGAATACCTGTTGCGGGCGTTCTGAGGTTCATAGTTATTATCTTCAATAAGAACCTGCACTTGCGGCCTCATGTTGTACGGTGCTGCTCTCAAGCAAAATGACAACTCAAAAGAACAAGAATATGTTCACCAGTGACCGACACCTGGAGCCAGAGGCTGAGCAGTATTCGCTGAACTCGCTGTTGCACTGGGGATACCCCAGGATATATACAGGCCTTCAAGTGCAAAGAGGCTATCGTCCAGTTTTGCAGGGGGAATTTTCAGCGCTTCGCGATACAAGGGTGGAACACGGTTGTATACATAGTCGGATCTCGATATCTGCAACCCTGTGGTGATTGCGAATGAAGGAAAGGCTGATCAAGAGTTAGAACAAATTGTCGAGCAGAAGCTCCAACAACTGCCTCGACCTCGAATAAAGTGGATAGATAAACGATTGGCAGGGATCAACAGCCTTCTTCACCAGGACGAGGCTATGTATGTCCGATCGCTTGTCCGTGATGGGGCTAAGTTAAAAATAAAGCAACCTCTGCAGGAGGAAAGAAAAACACGAGGAAACATAAACGAAGTATATATGGAACTCAAACAGAGAAACGAATTCAAGAAGCAATGATTCGGCTCCTCTCTCCTCTGTCTCTTCTCCACGCCATCTGATCCATTTTCAAAAAACTCTCACCTTGCGCCAACGGCTCGTTAGCCTATGGCGCTATCTTGGCTACGCCAGACAAGTCTTGCAGGCAAGGTCCCCTGCCAGTCGACGGCTTCTTGCCCAGCCGCCCCGGGGACTATCCCCTTGCTGCATGGCACCCCCGGTCGCCGAGAGATTCCTGAGCCGCCCTTGACGAATCAGCACCCTACAAACCACCTGTTGGTTATGTAGGGTGGCCGCGAGTGGCTATAGCAGTCAATAAAACGGCGAGGTCTCAGCCAGTACGGAGTAGACCGTCTTTGGTTCTCCTTGTCCTCATAGTTCGGTACGCCCAGTGCCTCATAAATTGGGAGGGATGTTGTGCGATGGTCACTTTGAACAGATACCTCATGTGGCTAGCAAGCAAATATCAAGGTGAAGAGATGCAACACGCAAATATAGCGACGTTGCATGAATATCTCCCTCCCCAGAAGACCGAAATCACCAAGCGAGCGCACTGACGATAACATTCTGAGGATGTGAGTCAGTCAAGGTAAGCCATCCAGCATTGTTTTGGGTTTCAATCAACCATTTCCATCAGGAGTTATGTTCAGTTATGTTCCATGCTTGCCGCTCATGTGCTGAAAGACGTTGTTGGCGTCTTGTTATGACAAGTTACATCCGCAAAACCTGCTGATTCTTGGCAAAGATGCAATCGATCACCAGCAAGCAACCAAGGGCCCAACTGTGCGAATGCTGAAATAGAGTGCATATTGCCAACATACACAGTAGACGGAATGATCTTCTAAGACATGGCCCTTGATCTTCACGGACGCTGGCGGGGAATACTACTACTACTACTACCACCACCACCTACTACTACTACTACTACTTCTTTACCATCTTGCTTTCTCAGAGAGGTCAACATGGGTGACATATCGGGCTCGATGTCTTTGCGAAGCACCAGCAAAACCACTTCTGAGGATAAACCATCGCCCCAACAGTTGTATAATACTGTGCATTGAGAAATCCTAAATGCCACAGGGACAACCCATCTAGTGTATGAGAATGTGGAAACCCAGGCTGGATCTTTAGTTTTTGATTCTCTTGAAGAGTCTTCAAAAGTTGAAAACATTCGTCCAAGGTAGATAACAACCTCCCAACTCCTTTGCGAATACTAGCTAACTTGTAGCATTTGAAAGGTTGAGCTACAATTCCTTTACCCGGATGTTAGATGTTGACTTGATGCCAACGTTGACCCATGATTGCCATACTAAGTGGTTTGTCAAAGAGTTTCACAGGATGGAATCCTCCACCTTTCTTACTCCAGCTGAATACGATCAGTTGGAGTTTTCCTCTAGTATCAGTATACACTATACCTTCTGTCTCGCCGCATATGCATATTCAGATTACACTTGATTCCAACACGGAGCACTCAGCGTTCCGACCCTTTCAGGCTCCCCATACCTCCTCGTTAAAGCAACCTGACTCGTTCTTCCAGGTACAAGGGCAATACCTACCAACTATTGTGGGCGAGTCAGGTTGGACCGAAACTACGGCAAATCTGCATCGTGATATGAGACTCTGGTTAATCGGAGATTCGGAGGGGCGAATCAAGTTCAATTGGTTCTACTACCCAAGTGGACAATGCATGCCAACAGACGGGTCTCAGGTGTTGTTCAACTATGGGCTTTAAACCAAATGGGAAACGAAACGATTCTACAAACAGCTGTACGTTTTATCATTCAGAATGTACGGTTGTATTTGTTTGGTCACTTTACTGATTACCCAAAGATTATATACCCACCAACTGCCAATCAAGTAATACAGATTACGCGAAAACAACTCTTTGGATCTTTAGTCCACCCCGGGAGAAACTCCAATGATGTGTTCAACCTCTCTATTGATGCCCTGCGAGAAATAGCGGCAGATGCGATACACACCGATGGTTTCTTACCGGCCTGACGGCCTGATCGTGATGTACTCGTTATGCTTTATCCTGCTGGAATTGCGTGTCTGGATCTCTTTTTAACCGTATCTTTGGAAATTCGAGGCGTGTGAGGGTATTCATGTCACTGCATATCAGCCTCTTGGTGGCAGGCCAGTGGCAGCTGCCAATCCTAACATCGATCGCGCTGGCCGTCTTCTGGATTTAGATGTAAGTCGCTCAATGTGGTAATTTCTCTTGTCATAAAAAATCAATCATAATGGGCTGACTCATGCTAAGTATAACAAAGATTGCTGAAATCAACCTGCACATATAAAAATTCGCTAACTCAGGTGCTACTGTCCTGGACAATCCAGCGTGGCACATTTGTGACCCCGAAAACCGTACAAGAAACTCGGATGGTTAAGAACCGCGACATTTTCAGGCTTGTTGATGAGTTTGTTGTGAGAATCAATGCTCTCATGCTAAATGGCTGCACTCATAGTGATATATATACCCATGGGTGTGGTGGTGTGGCCCGACCCACAGCAGACGTGGCCACTGCCTATACACTGCAACCGCCAGCCGAAGCATAGTGGGGAACCACATCACTAGATATTATCACTAGATATCATTACTAGATATTATCGCTAGATATCATCACGAGATATCATCGCGAGATATCATTGCTAGATATTATCGCTAGATATACAATTGATAGCTATCATTGTCAATATATACATATATTGTGATTTCCACACTATGCTGTGGCTGATGGTTGCAGTGTATAGGTGGTGGGT